TTACCTGCACCAAAATCCTTCAAAAACATTTTTCTAGAGGTGATTCCGAATTGAATGAGCTATCGCTCAAATTTTTAGGACATTTATCTCTATTTTTCATGTTTTTGAACTTGTTGATTAGACTAAAGCCAACGTTGAACAGTGCGTTGAACAGTATCATTGCCAAATGTCAGGATAATGTTTCAGGATGTTTCAGCATCGTTTTGGTTCAATTTGAATTTGTAGAGGAAAATTGACCGAAAATTGCAATTGCAAAAATTGCAACGACATCATATAGTAATAAGCTGAAGAAACGCAAAACATTCAATTTTTGAAACAATCATGCCTGTACAGCATACCTGATTGAATCAGGCATACTTGAGATACTTTTAATGTTTGCTGGAAAAGGGTTGACTTTTCGATTCGATCCAATCTGATAATGCTTTAATTAGGTAGTCTGAATAATACGAATGGATGATAAGAAGAACAGCAACATATTTGTCATTTCTTTTCAGTTGATAATCCAGAAGGAACACATCGAAGAAAACTTCATGCTAGGCCTTTCGGCTCTAATCGCAGGGGATTTTGTTTTTCTCCCATCAGACACTAGGATCTGCAAAGTGTTCCACCCCGACAACAACAATGGAACATCTCTGACGCTGTTCATGAGGGTGAGGTTCTTCCTATCCAGTTTGAGAGGCATTCGGGGCAGTCAAGCGAGGCACCTTCTTTACCTGCAACTACGGAGGTCCATTTTGGAACATCAGCTTCCGTGCTCTTTCAGGCAGATCATCGAACTGAACGGTCTCGCTCTACAGGCGGAGTTTGGAGATTTCAACCAGAGGGTGAGTTGTTTACAAGAATTATCGCCTCCAGACCTACAAATGCGGTCTTGAAGACTCTCACATATTGTATTAGGGACTGGGGGCCTGAACACCTGGCAGTCAAGCCTGTGTTTAATACTTTGGAGTGATTAGGTTATCATTTGACACCCCTTCTCGATTTCGTCTTTTTAACACCAATAAAAACATTCTAGCCTTCAAGCTTTCCTTTTTTAGGAACACGGAACGAGAGACTACTTTCTATTGGAACATTATGTACCAGAAACAATGTCCTGCATAATCGAAGACTCGGATCGTTTAAGACAGGAACTCATCAAAGGACACGTAGCAAAAAGTGGATTAGATCCTGAAAAAGCAGAACAAGATTTCATTATTTTCGCCCAAACCCTTCCTCACTATGGAGGTCATTTCTACACGGCAACTTGGGTGAGTTCAATAGATGCTGATTCAAATAGGCCCTGGAATAGATCTTTGTGGAACTCATCCATTTTTTTTAATATATTCCTCATCACCTAGTATTTTACTATTTAGATGCTGAAAGACAACAACCACAAAGACATCTGGTTGTACATCAGCGCTCAGGGCATCAACTTGTATGAAAGAGGGCAGAGAACCAGCAATTTCGGACCGGAGATGTACGAATCTTTCGAATGGAGGAACATCCAAACTCTCTGCTACAGCAAACAGTATTTATGTATCTTACCGCATAGCAGTTTTCCTTCTTCTGCCAAGTTGAAGAAGTATAAGTTGAAAATGGATCAGAAGAAGTAAGTTATGCTCCTTCGCCATGTTGATTTACTCCAGATTAATCTCTTTGATATTAGTTGAAATAGAAAACCTCGATACATGTTTCTAAAAATTATTGAATTTTTCGATCTTCAACGTTCACGACCTGTTTTTCCCAGTGAAAAATAATCAATCATTCTCTCCAAGGTTGACAGACCATTGAAAATTTTTGCTGACTCACCAGACAGGATACGCTTTCCTGATTCTTTCAGGTAACTTTTAGTCACACAGGCTTGAAAGTGCAGCTCTGGAAAGAGGTAACTCTGAAGCGTCTTCTGGAATATCCTGTATGGCAGCCATAATGGCATACTGAAGAGAGTTCACTTCCTTTGTCGATATTGAGGGTGTTACATATTTGGTATGCAAAATTCCTACAATAATGACTTGATCAACCTCATCATGAGGGGAATTTCTTTCCTCTTCTCCAGTGAATTCTGATTTTGCATTTGCTGCGAGGCAGAATCTGGACGAGGCAATAAATTGTTTCCTAGCTTCACCACCCAGTCTCCTAGATTTGTTAACAAAATCAAGTATTGGAGAACTGATAAGCTCTTGCTTTGATCTGATGTTACATGAAGAACAGTTGGGGTTGTTTAGTCTTCCTCCATCTTCTGTGTAGGCTCAGGATCGTATTCGTTGTCAAGGCTTTCTACGACGAGAAGTTGTCTATTATCTTGAATGTTTCATCAATGGCATTGAGTGTACTTAGCGTCATACATCCTTTTGTTATTGATATTGATGAATGAATATATCTACCCGAGAAATAATGATTTTCCTGTGGAAAATATTTTTTCAGGTTGTCGTTAATCTCCAATATTGGCCGAGTTTTTGAAAATGTAGGTTGAAAGTTCTTCAGTGTGTGTTATACATCACCACTGGTATTTCATCAAACCCTTCGGAATGATGGGCTTCACCAAAAAAGTAGATCACCAAAGCCGATTCTGCTACACCAGCCAATGAGAGCGCAGAAATTTGTCACATGACCAGTTTTTTCGGTTGGTTACTCTATCGGCTACAGAATCGGCTTTGGTGATCTACTCAAAAAACATCTATCATTCGAAATCAGTACCCTTTGGGAAACACGGAGAATTCAAACTGACTATTTGCTCTGCTTCTAGGAGTTACTTCACGTTTCGACTAGCGTCGCTCCACCACCAGTTTTTCCTCCGGCTGCGAACGGAGTACATCTCTCCCCAGACTCTCTCCCAGCAATTCGGCATCCCCCTGAAGGACATAAAAAACGAAACGAACTCCCTGTATAAACTCGAAGCGCTAACCAACGCCAACTACGCCTCCTCCAACGGCACCGTGAATGCCGAAACCGAGTTCAAAATCGAGTTCCGAACTTCCTCGAGGCTCAGCTCGAAACCCACTACTGACAACGTCGTCAAGAGGTCGAAGAGCGTCAATGACTTCAACGGACTCGAGGAAACCATCAATGAAGACTTCCAGAACAAGGAGAACGAGAATCCCAGCCAAAGGCCGAAGAGGGGGCTAGTTTTAGAAAGCAAATATTTATCGGGATTGCCGGCGGAGAAGCGGAGGGGGGTCAAGATGGGGATGAGGGCGTTCGTGAATATGAAGTCGGGGGTTTCGAGGTCCATGGAGGCCATGTATGCTGCGAGTAACGAGTATCTGGAGCAGATGTCGTTGCAGTCGGTGTCGCTGCATTGCAGCTCCACTTCGATGTCCAGGTCGCCGACGGGAAAGTGCACGCCCAACGAGGCATATGTTTTAGGTACGTATAAAGTATTGAAGAGTTGGAAAGATTGTTTTGTCAGTTAGTACGACCTGATACTAATAAAATTGTGACCCATCATGTTACAGACTCCACAATCAAACAGACATCACAACCACTGCTGCCGGACTTTCAAGAAACCCTCAGCGAGTCCCTCCTGGAGAAACTCAACAGCCTTTCATTCGCTGAGGAGCGAATCCTGTCCGCCGTCACCGTAGAGAGAGACCTCCAAGGAAGCCTAGGACTGCAGATCACGGAAGGATCAGATGGTAACGTGTACGTGCAGTCGGTGATCCCAGGAGGCCAAGCCTATCTCAAGGGCAGCATACAGCGGGGAGACCAAGTGGTAGCCGTCGATGGAACCACCCTCCTGGGGATGAAGTACAAGCAGGCGTTGAACTTCTTGAAGAGTAGAGGTAGCAGGGTAGAGTTCGTGCTAGCTAGGACGGTCGCGAAACGTGGTGATATGGATTTCTTGGGGTGTAACTACAAAGGGGAGGGTTCAAGGCGAAAGGAGCGCGAGAGTCCGGTTGAGAAACACTTGACGGAGAGCTGCCGCGACATTTCCAACTTGCACAAGTATAGCCACAGCGAAGTACCTTACCACAAGCACATCCGGTACGAAATCGAGCCAGAAAGTGAGGTTATGTTCAAGAAACCCCTGACCCCGGCTCATTCCAAGCACTCAGACTCTCTCAGGCGTGCTGTGTCGAAGTCCTGCTCGCATCTCTACTCGCACGAAAGGGACAAGGCCGTAGTCGTAGAACTTATCCCGAAGGAGAACGTAGACCTGTCAAACGTGCACTCGCTTGACAGGAAACACTTAAAAGGTTTCAAGGAGTCCTTGGACACGGTCCTACCCATAGCGGTACCGCGCAGCTTGGGCTTGAGCAGAAAGTGGAGAGGGCCGGTGAGATATCCCGTGACGCCTGTCAAGAAGACTGCCGATTCGGACGATGTCAATTATGTGTCGACCTCGGATGAGGAGCAGGTTTTCATATAACCGAGGCGGGTGATATATTATTGTTGAGGTGTGAGGTAGTACCGTGGAAAAGTAGGGGAAAGAGTGTTTGTGAGTGGAGAATGATGGATAGTTTTGATATGTTGAAGTTTTCTTCCACTAACAGTTGATTTGAAGCACACAGATTCATCTCTTCGAGAGGTATCCAAATGTACTCCTTATGCGCGAGAGGGAGGGAGACAATATGATTTATTGTATACATAATGTGAGTCACTTCCATTCCATTATAATGCTTGGACCTTGTCATTATGTACGAAATACAATGTCATTTAGATGGTCGCGGGAGTGGATCCTTTAGAGGTAGTTGTCGACCACTTTTTTGCACATTTCGGATGGTATCTCAGTGATAACGAATGTGGGTTTTCAAATAATCCAACGTTGGGGGATTATCATCATAGACACGGTCTTTGACGTAGCCCCACGAATAAAAGTCTAACGGTGTCAAATCATATGATCGTAGTGGCCAATTGACACGCTGTGGAAACTTCTCAAGCGATGAAGCCAAAATTGGTCGTGTTGTGTGGCTTGTGGCACCGTCTTGTTGAAACCATATATCGTCCAGCTCATAATCTTCAATTGTAAGCCAAAAAAGGCGGTTATCATGCGGCCATAGCGCTCTGAATTGATGGTAACGGTTCTTCCAGCAGTTCGAAAAAATACGGCCCAATGACACCTCCAGACCATTTAAGCACCAAACAGTCACTTTCTCCGGATGCAACGGCTGTTCCACAATCACTTTTCGGTTCTCCGAGCCCCATGTGTGACAATTTTGCTTGTTGACCTAACCACCGAGTGAGTTACGTCATCACATTGAAAGTCTGTTGCTCTAGCACCCCATCAGCATATCTACAGCGTTGTGGATTGTCAGCCGGCTTCAATTGTTGCGTGACTTGGACTTCACGTGGATGGAGGTGCAAATCCAATTGCAAAATACTTCCTGAAGAGCCGAAAGATAAACCCAATTGCTGATCTCGCCGTGGAATCGACAAGTTCGGCTTCACAGCCACACTGTCACTAACAGAAGCGATATTTTCGCCAGTGCGCACATTCCGATGATGTGCAAGCCTGACCACTTCTGGAACGCTTCCAGCCTCTTCTGATATCTTGCTAACTTGCCAACGTCTTGCGCAGTAGGTCGTTTATGACGACCATAATCACGCCGTAATGCCCGAAAAGTGGCCACGTTTGTAGTAAGTTTCAAATATTTTTACGTGTTCTTCAGTTGTTGAAAGATTCATATTCGTGAATGGCATTTCGCTTAATAAATGACAGCTGACAGACCTGCCAGACCGGCGGTTTTGAAACCACTAAGAGTTATCTCCCATATAACTGAAAGCTATCCGATAATTTTTTGATGAATTTGACTGCACTATGGTAGTAATTCAGTATCAAAGATCTACGTGACACGAATTTGAAATTCTATCTATCTGAGCATGTCGGGGAAGGCAATATTTCGACTGTTTTTGTGATACTCACACCAAACTTTTACGACATCTGTCATTCAAAACTCTCAAATATATGAGCGTAAATTTCCATTCACCACCAGCACAAAAATGGTGAAGGACTGTCCTGTTTCCAAGAAAGAGGGGCACCTATCCAGGGCCAAAATCGTCTGTCAAACCAAGCAGGATATCCTGGAGCAAGAAGCTAAAAAGGAGCAAGAAGCTAAAAAGGAGCAAGAAGCAAAGAAGTCGCAGCAGGTCCCCGAGAGACAAGCCCAAAAATCTGAGGTTTTCGAAAAATCCAGCACAGAGCATTTGAAAGAGGCGATATATTCGGCTTTTGAAACACCTAGAAGCATAAAACGCATCGGGCCGAAGCAGATTAAGATATTGCGAGGGTTCATACCGAGTGTTATGTACTTCACGATAGCGGGTGCTTTATGTACGGTCTATTTATGTGAATGGAAACATGTCTTGCAGTATGTACCGTTGTGGAGGGGAAAATATAAAAGTTAATAGGTTTTGATTGAGTTTTGACTGAATCAAATCATTGTGTTAAGTTTTGGATCGGCTGCAAACGACAATTAAAAAAAAAATGGGAGTACCTACGTATTTTGACGTGTAGATTACGAATCGGGAAGTTCAGAAAATTGCAACTTTTCACCCATTTATTTTCTTGTTATAAACTGGACAAAAAGTCAACAGTTTTTCTATAGAAAACTGTGTAGATTCACAGAGCTGCTTTTTAGTAATAAATCTCTCCATTTTACTTTTTTCAGGTTAACATCATAGTTGGCATCACTGATTACTCTCAACATCGTTAAATCAAGTGTTTTATACAAAAAAAAAAACAATTATTGAAAAGAAAAGTGTCACAGAAGATGAAATAAGACGTGAAGGTATCAATACTTGTGATTCTATTGGCGAATTTTCACGAAACGGTGAAAACCACCACAGAACAGCAACTGTGTCGATTTCGACAGAACAGAAACTTGACTTGTCAAAATGAGAAACATTTGAATACTCTGTGTCGCGGGCGATTGTTTTTGTCAACAATGAAATGTCCCGTCGGCAGGCGGAAAGATTAAAAAGTTTCGGTGTTTTGTCTGTGTTTCTGTTCGCTATGTGGAACATTATTACTTTATTCACAGTGTTAATCTGTGGCGGATATAAATTTCTATCATCGGCGAGTATTGATTTGGTTGCATATTTCAAGCAATAATGAGATCTGATTTTCCTTTCTTGAACATGAGCGATTTATTTGCTATTATTGTAGTAGGAACGATAAAAAACAGTTCACAACAAGTTTTTTGTTTCTGTTTCTGAAAACTAGTCCCAGGCGAGTCCGTTTGGTGGAAATCCGTCTTTATATCTGAATAGTTGCTTGTTGTCGATAACTGTTTTCACATAGCGAACTCTGTTTACAAAAACACAGACAAAACACTGAAACCTTTTGATCTTTCCGCCTGCCGATGGGGCATTTCTTTGTTGACGAAAATAGTCGCTCGCCACATAGTCTTCAAAATGTTTCTTATGTTGACAACTTAAGTTTCTGCTGCTGCGTTTTGTTGTCGTTTTTTCCGTTCAGTGGAAATCCGACTCAAGGTTTGTATTGTGCAAAAAGCAAGCAGATGAGTTGTAATTTTATGAACTTTGGAACTCTGAACTCTGGAAATAAGGTAGAACACCGACTCTTTTTTTCCGGATTCATAATCTACACGTCAAAATATGTAAGAGCACACAAAATTTCCTGAAATTTCACACTGAAATCCTTTTACTCTAATGGTAACCAATTTGTAATGTCTCTCTTCAGCAACAAAAACTCCAGATTATGGAAATTATATTCCCCGAATATTCTATTATTTTCCACAGTCAATTATACAAGTGAACATTATTTCTTTCTCGAAGTTATATGATAATCAAATACTCTAACTAGATAATTTGTATTTGACCACACCAAACCTGCTGGAAATAAATAACGTGGAAGAGTAAACAGAAAAATTAAATGTTTTAAAGAAGAAGAAGTATATAAAAGCAACAACATTCTTCTTCTTCTCTTTTTTTATGGTCTTTGCTTCCCTTCGGCGCAGTAGACCAGAAAGCAACATTATTAAACTCTCTCCTTTGTCTATTTGAGATAAAGTCACAGCAGGTTCACGAAACATTTTTGATAACAAGACCAAGAAATTCATAGAGCTTCCGTAGTTAGATAGTCAATGTTAAGTGCCAAATATATAAGTGTAAAAATTAATGTTAGTGCCTAGATAGGAATGAAATAATTCAAATAAGCCGTCGCGTTACATAAATGTTCTTCGGTATAAAGTTACCCTCATTGTCGACTTGAAACGAAGTGAATGGACATCGGTTAATTACATTTTCTGAGTGATTAATGTAATTAATTTGCTATTGGTGATATTTATATAAAGTTTCATTTCTTCCTTTCATAATTGTTGCATTATCGTTTCGCATCACCTATATGTTCAGGGAGTTCATTCAGTTTTTGCAGTGAAAGCTGCAGGCAGAGAGAAAGCGATTTCCAATTTTTTCCGTGGCTGTTGAAGTTTGAAAAATGGAGCTGCTTGGTTCAATCTACCCACATTATTGTTAAATTATGTATACTGTGCTAGTCATCAAAAAAGTAGCGGGAATTGGTCAATAAAACGCAAACGTATATATCTCTTCTGAAATAATACTCTTCCGCTAACGAACAACTCAATCATCAAAACATATTTTAATCTAAGTTTTAAAAAAGAAAAAATCAACCGGAGCAATATCAGGTGAATGCGGTGGCTACTCGATATGGTTTGTTGAGATTTTTTGCTAGAAATTCGTTCACAATTACAGTTTAGCGAGATGCTCCCTCAAACGGTTTACGTCATCTTCACTTTATATCGACTTTGACGAGTTTTTTCGCTTTCAAGGCGCCATTCCGAAGCTTCCGAAGCTTGCTGGTGCTGTAAAATGCGTGTTATAAATGTGGAGTCGAAATTGAGTTCTAACATATATTCAGCGACCTCTACTGGATGAGTGTTTGCGGAAAATTCAGATAGTTTGGCTCTAGTCCAGCGGCAACTCATTTCATGACTGAAAAATCGTTTAAAATGGTAGGAACTCAGTCGTGAGATGTAGATATTTCGGCGGCTATATGTCTCAGTCTTGACGATTCTCAGTCACCATTTCCTTTACTTTTCTTTAGCGTTGTTGAGGATTTTGATTGCCGACCAGAGCAGTGCAAATTTTTTACCATCTCGACTGCTTTTGAAGACACTGTACCACTTATACACATGTGTTTCTGATGAAGTAGATTCGCCTTCAGTCTTTAGCAACATTTTCATTGCTTCGACACACGAAATTTCATTTGCAGTGCAAAATTTAAGACGAATTAATCGTTCTATATTTTTATTCCTTGTAAAAATCGAAAAACACGTTTGCCAACGAAAATAATTTCGACAATCCCTACACGAGAGCTTTTCGAATGATCGATTCCCGATACTTTCTTGACGGATTGTACAGTGTTTTCAAATAATGCATGCTCCTGCTTCAATTTTGTGATTGCCTTATTGGAGAGACACCCCAAAAAGTTTCGGTAGCATTGTTTTTCAACCCTTAGCTTCAATATTTCTCATTTTATGGTACAAAAAAGGCAAACGTTTTTCAACTTCTCGCTCTTCTCCAGAGGGATGACATGAACATTGATAATGGTTGAACTTCCAGCACCATTTCGTGTTTTTTTTGGATACGTCAAAGTCGAATAGATATCAGTCTATAACGAGGGCAAATGTACAGCAATAGTCATTAAGAAATATTTATGTAATTAATAGTTAGAATCGAAAAGAAGTGACAGGATAATAATCACCATATATCAGTATGAACAATTATATCGCAATTCAATGTAGCTTGTTAGTTTCATAAGAAATGTTATTTTTTATCCCAACTGTATTAATTTATTTCAGAACCTGAATGGTAACCCCATAGAAAGTGTTGTTTTTATGCATTATTAATTTCAAATGGAATTTGTGGAATTCGGGAGTTTTCAGCTTTGGCCAGTTGAGACACAAAAATTATCAAAAGCTTTTGTGTCGAAACATGACTATATGAAATCGAAAGATATTACATCGAATCCATGGTTTTTTTTCTGGATATTGACAGAAAGTAATGAGTCCTACCTGAAAAAAATTCCCAAATTCTTCATCAGTTAGTTGATAATATAACATAGAAAGCAATTTTTACAATACAGAGTGGTCAAATTGAAACGAGATAGGGCTGCTATCAGGAACCATATCAACAGTTTACAAGAGCTTGAGGATCCGTTGATTTTTTATGTAAGAGGTAAGAATCACCCAAAAATATCCAATATCATTGGGTGACGACTAAGGTGTTATATTGGAGCCTCTAGAATTTCCTTATTGATAGTTTTTCAGCCTGTAGAATTCTGTCAAAACCAATATTTGTGAGGAACAGTAGTTTTTTCCAAAGAAAGTCTGCGGCTACAAACTTATTGGTATTTTCACATGATGTTCACACTTTTTGACGGTTGTTGTTCACAACGATTTCCAAAAAACATTTGACAAGGTTAGTCATGATGCATTATTGAAAAAACTACACGTACATGGTGCACATAAACTAATTCACAAATATTGTATGTCATATCTTGAAAATAGTTCCTATCAATTTCAATGCCGTGGAAACTCGTCAAGCAAATATGAATATAACATTGGAGTTCCTGAGGGCTCAAATTCAGGGCCATTGTTACTTCTAATCTTTATTACTGGTGATGTGAAATTGTATAGAAAAACTGAAAGGAGCAAGATTGTTTTTGCCTTCAAGCTGATTTAGACTCAGTTTTTTTCTGGCGGATTGATAACGAACGAAAATTAACTCTAAACGAGGGGAAGGGAGATGGTAAAATGTCATAATCTGAATATGACAATTCTGTGTTGAGAAAGTTAAGGATTTTAGAATGTGACACTTGTAGATTGTTCATTTCGAACAAGAATTTTCCATATTGGTTGCTGAGATAGCTGACTGTATATGAGACAGTTAATCTCGCAACTGAAATTCAAGTTACTAGATTGTATAAATACTCTTTGTAAAACATATTTTCCGGATTTTTTTTCATAGTAAGTTTCTCCTTTATAATGAACGCAACTGTGATAGCTCAAAGAGAATTCATTGATAAATCATATCTTGTTTTTCTCATGAAATCTGTTTGGGAGATATATGAATTTCCAGAATGATTCGAGAGAATCCGTGTATTTTACTCCTCAGGAATCCCCACGAAAAAACTAGGGGCGACAAATCAGGTAACGATGGAGAGCATTCAGTGCCGTCACACATTATTTGCTGTCATGAAAAATTTTGGTCTAAATACAAATAGTCAAGGCTTTATATTGAAACACGAATCACCATCACACTGTTTCTATTTTTCACGGCCCTTTATTGATAGAAGAAGCAGCATTGGATGGCCACCTCGGTCACCAAATTTGGTTACCCTTTATTTAAAAACACAATCTATAAAAATGATTATACAAAAAAATTAGTATTTCATTTTTCTGCCAGCAGCGCCATCTATCCACAAAAGGTAGTAACTTTTTCGTTTCAGAGAAAAAACAACAGAAAAGTGACTTCCAATTGCAAAGTGAACTCAAAAATAGAGGGTTATATAAAGGCGTTATTTGAAACGAATTTCAAACTTTGTATAAAATCGATATACAAAGCTTCAAACAATGATAAAGGCGATATCTTTGAACAGCGATGTCGCCATCTGTGAGATTTCAAATACAATTGCTACTCACCATATTAAGTTCGTCTATCAAAAGGTAGATGGCAACCTCATACTAGTGCCATCTATCTTTGAAGGCTCAAATCTTCAGTCATTCTTAGAAAATGGCTAAACAGAAAACTGTAATTTACATTTTCGTCAATCGTAAGACAATTAACGCATCTACTTCCCAATAGATGGCGCTACTGAAAATGAAAATAAATATAATGTAATTGATGTTATTTGTATGAGCTACATAATAATTTATTGTAACTGTTGATTACCAATCAATTTTCTGAATTTACTTCACAAAAAAAATATTTCGAAAGTGCGACTTCGTATATAGGTATATTCGTCTCGAATGGTAATAGTTGATAAACGAAATGTTTTCACCCCACACATAAAGGACTATTTTTCAGTTGTTCACTGATTTTTCAATCAATTGAAAAAAAATTAAAATTCACCGTAGATGGCGCTACTTACGATTCACTATCTTTTACTTAGGATCCGTTTATAAATAATTCTCAAAATACTGGTCAGTTAGTTTTTAAATTGATTGGGGGGGGGGTATATATCTTTGATGTTTCCAAATAGCTCATTGTCATAAATATTGATTTTGTCTATAAAACACTACAGAAACCTATCTCAATTGCTTAGTATCCCTCCCACCCTCAATTCTGAAGGTGGGAAGGGGTAGTTGCTTAGTATCCCTCCCACCTTCCCATCTAAAGCTTCTTAATTTATTGTTTCAAGTCGAGTAAATAATTGCTATATATAAGTGGCGCTACCTATTGGGTATAAAAGGTAGTTCTTTGATTACAATTGAATCATTTCACAAAACTAGCGTCACTTTCTGTCCACTGCTTTTTCACTCAGTTAACGTGTATAGTAAATCAATCTCAAAATATGAAAATAAAACTAATGAATTCTATTACTATGTTGATACAACGGATAGGTGCATATCTTTTATGTTTTCAAATAGCTCATCGTCATGAGTATTATTTTTCTCTGTAAACCCTTCTTTAACCAATCTCAACTCTGAAATAATTACTTCCCTTACGCCTGCAAGACGTTGAGCACCTCAATTTATTGTTTCAAGCTGAGTTATCTATTGCTATCTGTAAGTGGCGCCACCTGTTGTTGGCTTTCGCAAGTAGTTCTTTGATTTTCCTACATTAAACTAATTGCCATGTTTTTGAATTCACTCGCAAATTTTTTTCATCAAATTACAAAAACTCTGAAATATCAAATATTTAATATACCATTCTCAATTCTGAAATAACTGCTTATGATTCCCACCTCCTGCCTTCTGAAGCCTCCCTCAATTTATTGTTTCTAGCTGAGTAATTCACTGCTATCTATAAGTGGCGCCATCTGCTGGCTTGACAAGGAATTTCTTTATTTCCCTTTGTTAAACTAATGGTGATGTGTTTTGTAATCATTCTTTTTTGCAAAAACTTTTTCCTTAGCTGCAATATAGAAATTAATAATAGATTTACTCAGTTTGTAGAGACAAAGGAATTTCTTTATTTCCCTTTGTTAAACTAATGGTGATGTGTTTTGTAATCATTCTTTTTTGCAAAAACTTTTTCCTTAGCTGCAATATGGAAATTAATAATAGATTTACTCAGTTTGTAGAGACCTTCCCATCTATAAAAACTGTATTCAATGTTTCAAGCTGAACTTTAAACTGCTATCTACAAGTGGCGCCATCTGTTCGCCTTTAAAAAAAGTTATTCGTTTTCACAATTTGTTTCAAGCTAAGATCTCCTCTGCAGTCTAGAAGTGGCGCCATCTGTTGGATTTTAAGATTTTTTCTGTATTCAACAGTACATCAAAATTTCTCCCAGCGAAATACTGAAGTACTTGCACTCACGTGGGATATAAAAAACAGTTATATACAAAAAATATATTACTAAAAATAATCTACCATGAAAAAATACATTTCCAAAATAGTTTGAGGTAAAACAGTAACAAAAAAACACTGGAAAAATACAGAATATATAATATACTAAAGTATTTAGTTACTCGATTACAAAAGACAACTGCATATAACAAAAAATAGAAATCTTCTCAAGGCAATAACGCCTTTACTCTGTCACTGGGCCGATTGTTCTTTTCTGTGCTGCTGCAGATAACCTGCTTTCTTGAATTTCTAGAATATGAAACAAAACCGAGTTAATGTGAGACAGAGATACAGTAATATCGTTAAAAATTCACAGAGAAACATTTTAAACCAACAAATGAAAATGAACAACTTTGATTTTCTGAATTCCAATTATGGAGAAATAGAGAAGTCTGAATTCTTATGGAACTAATAGATAATAGTAATCTGTGATTGCAGAAACACAAGATTAAGAGACTGACAAGAAAATCTAGCTCAGTTTAATTTCAACTGTTAATTAAATGATAGAGGTTAAGGAAAACTTTTCAGTAAACAATTTTATTCATTGAAGACATTAGAGAAGCAACAATTTCGTACCTGCCAGTGTTCATAGCTAATCGTGCTTATAATTTGGGCATTCACTCCTCCTCCGTCTCTGAAATCTTTTAAAGCCTTCTTCCTTGCAGGTTTGATAATTGGTTCTCCTCTGCTATCTGGAAACCCAAAACCTAATAATACTAAAATATTAACCCTGTGTCTGTATTTGAACAAAGAGGATTGAAGAGAGGACTCTTCGGCAGATGAGAAAACTTATACACCCCTGTTGAGCTAGCATCTATTTTCAGGCCATAGTTGTGATTTAGTTTTGTACTCTATTTGAGAATGTTTTGCTCTTTTGATTGATAGATTGGTTTTAGATAATAAGTGAAGATACAGAGAATATTATCAAAGTCAAACTTGAAGAGTTTTCAATTAATAGTTGCTTCTACAGTATAGCAGAGTATTTGAATCAACATGGGGACTGATATCATAGATTCTGAACAAGTTTTATTGTTATATTCATATGTACGAGGTCTATCAGAAAAATACGAGGCAAATGTCAAATGAAACCTTTTTACAAAAGCAGAAGTTGTAAAAGTATGTATGCTTAGATATTTTCTGACTAAATTTCAACATAAAAAATACAAATAATACTCACTCAAATCAATAGATGCTCTTCCATCCCTGATCAAAAACGCAAAATAAAACATATTCTCCACAGTGCTGGCAAAGTCATCAGTGTCGATAATATAGTCATAATACTTGATTGGTTCCTCGTTGTTTTGGACATATTTTTCCTTCAACACGTCGTGCAGTACTTTCACAATCTCTTCGATACCTTCCTCGTCTTTATCAACACTGGTGACTTTCTCTGGTTCCTTCCTCTGTAGCTTTTCCTTCACGACTTTCTGCCGTTCTTTCTTAGGCTTTGGTTGAGGAAGATTATTCAAATCGTATGCACCATACACATAGCGATATTTGGGTATATCTGGAATTATACTACGGGCATCCTCTAGGAGATTTAATAAGTCATTGGGTTCCAGTTCTTCGTTCTTATCATCCTTTATGCTATTAATCTAAAAATAAATAGCAAGAGTATAATTTCCTTCTTCTAGTGATACGATGAGATTTTTATTGACCTTTATGAATTACAAAAAAATGTTGATGGGAACTGCTCTCTCGTCATTACTTATGCATAATTTTTTTGACAAAAACAACACAAGAAACCATAATCGCTGGCCCATATACACAACAGTTGCTAGGTTCAAAAAAAGAATGGACAAGTATCTCTAAAAATAAACATTTCAGGAAGTTTACTGTTATAAATTGAAAGAAATTTGCATTCTCAATTCTGCAAAGTTGAAAAGTTTTCTCACAAAACTCTTGGTATGGTTCAATATAGAAACGATTTATATAAATATAATTTCATGTTCTTTCTTTCAATATCTGCATAGATTAACAAAAAGATAGTTTTGAATATGCTATATGTTTAACGTCAGAAGTTGTGTCTCACCTTCACTCAACGGCAGTGCAAGCAGGTCAACCCTGGGTATCAAACAACAATCAACTACAAATAAAAGATTAAATGGTACCACGAAGCTCAAGAATGTTGCATTCTTAACACAAAACTAGACAGAGTTAGAAGATGAGAGCCTCGTTTCAATCTGCCAATTTGAGGTTTCAATTTTTCAAACCTTAAAAAAAATGAATTTGTAGTTTAGTTCATTTGTACTTCGAAACAGTCATGATTAATTTCAAAAAAACTTTACTTTTCAAACTTTTCATTATACTCCTGGCTTGTTTATGAGAAATCAATAAAAACTAGTTTATTATTATGCAACTGTCATCATTATTTGAGTATTTGAGATGTAAAATTTCATGGGAATCTCGTGCAATGAAGCATGGCAGAAAAAGGGAAAGCGATTTATACAAACGGATTTGTGGTTTACTTTCACAAACAAATAAGTACTATAAAAACATTTACATAAGAGTTTAGAAAAAATTAGTAGATTTCAATTTTCCTTTGTTGAACATGAGCGATTTACTTGCTATTCTTGTAGTGGGAACGATAAAAAACAGTTCCACAACAAGTTTTTTGTTTCTGTTTCTGAAAACTAGCGAACTCTGTTTACAAAAACACTGACAAAACACTGAAACCTTTTGATCTTTCCGGCTTCCCGAGGGGCATTTCTTTGTTGACAAAAATAGTCGCTCGCCACATAGTCTTCAAAATGTTTCTTATTTTGACAACTCAAGTTTCTGCTGCTGTTTTGTTGTCGTTTTGTCTGTTCAGTAGAAATCCGACTCAAGGTTTGTATTGTGCAAAAAGCAAGCAGATGAGTAGCAATTTTATGAACTTTGGAGGGTCTGAACTCTGAAAATAAGGGAGAACACCGACTCTTTTTTTTTCGGATTCGTAATCTACACGTCAAAATATATAAGAACACACAAAATTTCCTGAAATTTCATACTGAAATCCTTTTACTCTAATGGTAACCAATTTGTAATGTCTCTCTTCAGTAACAAAAACTCCAGATTATGGAAATTATATTCCCCGAATATTCTATTATTTTCCACAGTCAATTATGTGAGCATTATTTCTTTCTCGAAGTTATATAATATTCAAATACTATAACTAGATAATTCATATTTGACCACACCAAACCTGCTGGAAATAAATAACGTGGAAGAGTAAACAGAAAAATTAAATGTTTTAAAGAAGAAGAAGTATATAAAAGCAACAACATTCTTCTTCTTCTCTTTTTTTATGGTCTTTGCTTCTCTTCGGCGCAGTAGACCAGAAAGCAGCATTATTAAACTCTCTCCTTTGTCTATTTGAGATAAAGTCACAGCAGGTTCACGAAACATTTTTGATAACAAGACCAAGAAATTCATAGAGCTTCCGTAGTTAGATAGTCAATGTTAAGTGCCAAATATATAAGTGTAAAAATTAATGTTAGTGCCTAGATAGGAATGAAATAATTCAAATAAGCCGTCGCGTTACATAAATGTTCTTCGGTATAAAGTTACCCTCATTGTCGACTTGAAACGAAGTGAATGGACATCGGTTAATTACATTTTCTGAGTGATTAATGTAATTAATTTGCTATTGGTGATATTTATATAAAGTTTCATTTCTTCCTTTCATAATTGTTGCATTATCGTTTCGCATCACCTATATGTTCAGGGAGTTCATTCAGTTTTTGCAGTGAAAGCTGCAGGAAGAGAGAAAGCGATTTCCAATTTTTTCCGTGGCTGATGAAGTTTGAAAAATGGAGCTGCTTGGTTCAATCTACCCACATTATTGTTAAATTATGTATACTGTGCTAGTCATCAAAAAAGTAGCGGGAATTGGTCAATAAAACGCAAACGTATATATCTCTTCTGAAATAATACTCTTCCGCTAACGAACAACTCAATCATCAAAACATATTTTAATCTAAGTTTTAAAAAAGAAAAAATCAACCGGAGCCAGATCAGGTGAATTCGGTGGCTACTCGATATGGTTTGTTGAGATTTTTTGCTAGAAATTCGTTCACAATTACAGTTTAGCGAGATGCTCCCTCAAACGGTTTACGTCATCTTCACTTTTTATCGACTTTGACGAGTTTTTTCGCTTTCAAGGAGCCATTCCGAAGCTTCCGAAGCTTGCTGGTGCTGTAAAATGCGTGTTATGAATGTGGAGTCGAAATTGAGTTCTAACATATATTCAGCGACCTCTACTGGATGAGTGTTTGCGGAAAATTCAGATAGTTTGGCTCTAGTCCAGCGGCAACTCATTTCATGACTGAAAAATCGNGCAAAATAAAACATATTCTCCACAGTGCTGGCAAAGTCATCAGTGTCGATAATATAGTCATAATACTTGATTGGTTCCTCGTTGTTTTGGACATATTTTTCCTTCAACACGTCGTGCAGTACTTTCACAATCTCTTCGATACCTTCCTCGTCTTTATCAACACTGGTGACTTTCTCTGGTTCCTTCCTCTGTAGCTTTTCCTTCACGACTTTCTGCCGTTCTTTCTTAGGCTTTGGTTGAGGAAGATTATTCAAATCGTATGCACCATACACATAGCGATATTTGGGTATATCTGGAATTATACTACGGGCATCCTCTAGGAGATTTAATAAGTCATTGGGTTCCAGTTCTTCGTTCTTATCATCCTTTATGCTATTAATCTAAAAATAAATAGCAAGAGTATAATTTCCTTCTTCTAGTGATACGATGAGATTTTTATTGACCTTTATGAATTACAAAAAAATGTTGATGGGAACTGCTCTCTCGTCATTACTTATGCATAATTTTTTTGACAAAAACAACACAAGAAACCATAATCGCTGGCCCATATACACAACAGTTGCTAGGTTCAAAAAAAGGCATGGAAGGATTGTCAAAAACAGTACTTACTATTTTGTTGGAGAACTCACTCTGTTCGTATGTTGATGTAAACACGTCAACGGCTTCTATACACTTTTTCAGTATGTTACTGGCCGACGAAAGAACCATACAGTCTAACAGGGTTTCATCTGCATGCTCCACACGCTCGTCTATTTTCCATTCATTATCAAGATTGTTGACTTCCCGTAGAACCTCCCCGATATCTTTGACTGTGTTGAGGCCTACATCTTCAGTTTCCTCTAAAAGTCATTGATACATGAATTACTACAAATAACATTCAGTTTATGTTTCAACTCACGCAATCCTTCTACTCTATTCAACAAATTTCTGTAGGATATTTTCCGTTGCTGGGGAGTCCTTCTCATATCTGAAATATTGTTTTCTTTGTTGCCATTCACTACTGACGTCTCCATACTATTATTTAACTAATTTGTTGATAACCGCTTATTTTAGTAGTTGTCTGAAGGTTAAGTTGTGTCAAACTCTTCTTCTTCCTCGGAGATGTCAAATTCAGAATGTGTTCCGAAACCCAGAGATGTGGTTAGGTTGGTATCTGATGTGGTGACGCTAAAAAACGCTAGTCTAGTGACAACAGAACAATTATAAACACTTGAACTTCTCAGTTTGACTAATATGTTTTGTTGATTGAATATAGAATGATACTAGTTTTTACTAGATCGTTTATTGAAACCTAGTTTGCTCAAAGTCAACCCAGAAATGCAAAACTGAATTCTTTTCAGGAGGTGATAATTGAATGTAGACACCATTTGAAACTGATTAGGTAGGAATCTATAAACTATTGAACTGACGAGATAAAGCTCAAATTATCAATCTTAGAACATTATCAATTAAAAATAACAATTTTGAATACGAAAATCAGTATAGGACCACCTATGAGATGTGTTAAAAAAATTGAAACTAATTGAACAAACAATAAACAAATATATTTGTCTCATTTCGCGCTTTGAACTCTGTATTACATGGACAAGTATTCCTAAAAACAAACATTTCTTGAAGTTTATTGTTATAAATTGAAAGAAATTTGCATTCTCAATTCTGCAAAGTTGAAAATGTTTTCTCACAAAAACCTTGGTCTGGTTCAATATAGAAACGATTTATATAAATATAATTTCATGTTCATTCTTTCAATACCTATCTGCATAGATTGACAAAAAGATAGTTTTAAATATACTATATGTTTAACGTCAGAAGTTGCGTCTCACCTTCACTCAACGGCAGTGCACGCAGGTCAACCCTGGGTATCAAACAACAATCAACTACAAATAAAAGATTAAATGGGACCACGAAGCTCAAGAATGTTGCATTCTTGACACAAAACTAGACAGAGTTAGAAGATGAGAGCCTCGTTTCAATCTGCCAATTTGAGGTTTCAATTTTTCAAACCTTAAAAAAAAACAATACTGAGTAAGAAGTGGCAGTTGAAGTCAAAGTTCGGTCTGTAAGGGATGTCAGGGAACCCTCGTTTATTTTCGATATTCCTGGTTGGAATTTTTGTGTTGATCTCATGAGCGCCACCCCTTGGTATTGCAGGATTCGGATGTTATTACATTATTTTCATGTAATTAAAGACGAACAAAGCGAAATTTCATAGCAACAAAGCAGAATTCTTGCGTCGTTTCATAACCATGGCTGAAAGAAGGGCTATTCACTTTACACCCGAGACAAAAGAACAGTCAAAACAGTGGACTCAAAATGGTGAACCATGCGATAACTGGAAGCATGGGTCCCACAAGGTGAAGTCCTTTCGCCACACCTCTTCTCGGTATACACAGCAGACGTGACCAAGCCGGAGAACAACTTTAACAAGTTGGCGCGGACGACACAGCTTTGCTGGCGAGAACAACAACCCAAGCGCGCGGCACCAGATACTTGCAGCAACAGGCATATAGAATAGAGGCATGGGCCAACCCGTGGAAGATCAGTATAAACCCTGACAAGAGTCAGGCAATACTGTTCATCCGGAGGATGGTACACCCGTCGTCTCACGTACGACGGAGAAATAGGAATGGCAAGATCTGCCAACAAAACCAATAATAGGTCGAAGAAGCAACATGGGATTGAAAGTGAAGCTGCTGATGATAAGGACCGTAATATTACCGATAATTCTGTATGCCTGCACTGCCTGGGGCCAGTGCGTAGCAACATACAGAAGACAGGTTCAACGAGAAGCACTCGACCGCGATCTCTTAAAAAAAAAACAATAGTCTGCGGTTAGTTTTTGGGGACCCCATGCAAAAATTCAGTTAGGAATTGCCGGCAAGTTCATGGCATCGGTCGTTTGGGATGCCTGTGGGATAATTTTCATTGACTATATTGAAAAAGGTAAAACTATCAACGACGGGTATTATGCGGGTGCTTCTGGGACCACCCGTACACTATTACTGTTTATCTCACAACACTGAACTTCAGTGACTCCATTCGTAATAGAAAACAGTTTTGATACTAAATCGCTTCGAGAAAATTTGTACCTCGGTTAATTCTTCATAGAAATTGATGGTGACTCCTCTGGCGGATTAGTTTATCAGTTCCGATAGCCTTTCCAATGTTGCACAACCAGACTTTTAAAAATATATGTCATGTTCACTAACATTGAGTGTAATTTCAGAAATTTTATTCTGGGTTCACCATATTTTTGAAAAACAGCAGGCTTCATGAAAAATTTTCATGACTGTTACTTTTCCTGAGAAAAATGTCGGAACATAAACCTTCTATATTTAAAAAGTTGGCGAACCAAACAAAATGGGAACCCAAAAAAGTTACTGCCATACTCCGGGGTTCTGAAATTTGATAGTGAAACATTATAATACCATAATTGGGTAGTTTAACTTTTGCTACACAAAAACGTTCATATATGACTCAGTAACATTTTTAGGGCCAACTTTACAGTTTCTTCTTCATTATAGTCACAAAAATTCTTACAATAACATCGCTATTTTTAAGAATGAACATTCATTTCTCAAAAGGTTTGTTGGGCAACATGGTCCAATTATCTGAGATTTAGAAACTGTTACAGATTGAACCGTGAAAACTGTCACAAATTCGTTGGCCAAACCGGTCGGTATCCTGAAACAAGAGTTTCAGAACACACGAGAGATTCTGAAAAGCTCAATATCAAGAGCCCCACTATCCTTGTTGATCATGAAAGAGAGCATGGACACATTTTTAATTTTGAACGTCCGACAATTCTAGATGTCCAACCATATTTATCGGAAAAACTTTTGAGCGACATGATTCATATCCCCAAACATGATAGTCTGAAGACTAGAAGGAATGTCGATGGCCTCAACTCAACCAGTAAATTACTGTAATACTTCATTTTCTATTCTAATTCTTTCGCACATCAATAAAAATGGGTTCTACCGTATAAAAATTATAAATAAAGCTATTCGTCTATTTTATATCATTGTGTTGGGTTGGTCTGGAATATTTTGTCTGCTAGTGTTTTTTATTTTTTGGATGAATCTATCACTTCTAATGATTTTAAATTTTATTGAATTCAACAGGGAAAAACTCCTTTTTGGTGAATAATTTTATTATTAGTTCTTACAACATTAAAAACTGCAACAGTTATGACATTTCTGGCAGGTATAATTTATAAAATTCGATGTTAGAGACCTGAAGAAGATTTTTATTCAATTGGAAACGTTGCCAAAAAACAACTGTTTTTCTGAAATATATTGATCCTGTTATCCAACAAACATTTTTAGAAATGAGTAAGTGGATCACTAGACTATTCAACTGTAAATATTTATTTCAACAGCTTGCACAGGTTTTCAGGTAATTTTTTGGGCTTGGAGAGTGAAAAATATACAAGTACGATGATTTTTTTTCAAAAACCAGCACAAGCTATAGAAACTAATATTTACCAACCTTCCATTCCACTTCATAGGAAAATACCCGATTCATTTTTCCATAATTTTCCACAACAAAATAGACACAAAATAAATAACTTTTTTCGAGTTTCTCACAGCTGACTCTTCTCACGAGTCATCGAAAGTCATTCTCCCTACACCATGGTTCTTCATGTACCGCCTATATTGTTTATATTTATTACTCTCCGCCAACTGCTTCTTGGAATTTTCCTCCTCTTCTTTGAACCACTCGTCGAAGTTTTCCCGCAACCAGAGCTCTCTATCAAGAAACTCTTGTTTCTTATCATCCTCTTGGCTGTCGAACTGGTGCTGACTCATTTTCATGAATTTTCTAATGATGTACAGCTTCTCCTCCTCGCTGAAAGGTTTCTTCAGAAGGGTGTGCCTCACGATCCAAGATGCGTACCAATAAATGTATCTGACTAGAGTGTATGGGAAAATAATCAGCTGAATCCACAGCACATCCAGGTAACTAGGCTTGGCGTAAGCCCCTTTGATGTCCATTTTGTCTTCGATGACTTTCCTTATGATAGCTTCGGTTTCCTCTTTGGATATCTTGCCTTTGCCTTTGGACTTTCTGCCACTTTCAGACAGAAGCCCGTCTTGTTTAGCGATATCTAAAGCACGATTTCTGTACTTTGGCACAGTCGCAAAGTACTTGATAGCAGTGTCGTATCTCTGCCAACCACTATAGTACTGAATTACAGATATAATAGATATCGTTACTATTATTACTATTCTGACATCTACCTTTGGCGCAACTCTTCTTCTGTAGTACCTGTAGTAGTGAGCGTAGTACTCGTCTGGATTGTCCAACATATAATCGTAATCTGTTCGAGACTCCTCATCTTTCAGGATTTCATAAGCGTTGGCTATTCTTTTGAACTGAACCTCTGCTGATTCTTTGGCTTCGATCGTCCTGTGTCTGTCGGGGTGGTGTTGCTTAGCAAGTCTTCTGTAGTTCTTGGATATCTCACTTTTAGTGGCTTCTCTTGTAACCTCCAAGACATCATAACAGTTTTCTTTTCCGCAATATAACCCTTCCAAGAGTTGTCCGTAGGAAGACGTTGATAGAATAAGTAAGAAGCCAAATAGAACTACACTTTGTTTCAACATTGTGAACCGTCTGAACGGTAAATACCATATGATTTAGATTTTCGGTAGCCACGTTCAAATCATATCCACCTGTCATGACATTTTCTGATGTGAGTGGTGGTGGAATTGCGGTATTGCCAACGTGAAATGATAAAACGGTACTACTCTCAGACTGTGGTACTACTACAAAAGAAGTTATTCTGTGATTGAAGAGTTGATCAAAGATTAACTTCAATTCAATATTTTTCTAGTATTCATTAGAGCCAAAGGCTAAAGGTTCAAATTATACCTATAAAATGTCAATAATCGAAGACCCACGGAGACATCTAGTTTTGATAATTAGAACTTGAAACTCTAGGAACATGTCAAATATTCCTCAGGAAACAACTGCTGACAGCAGCCACTCTTCATTATCACATCTATCAATCATATTCCATTATAGAAATGTAGAAGTCAGCTCTTTTAAAATGATTAGTGAACCCAGAAGGTTTCGTTCAGGTTTTTCGAAGCAAAAAGCATATCGGTAAAAATATTAGCGTTTCTATGCATCCTGCTGGTCCACTCGAATACTCAACTAACAAACCTGTTTGACATATTTTAAAGAAGAAAATGAGGTTATGATCCCTTGTTATTGTTTACTGTATTTATATGCTAGCAAGTCAATTTTGATAACAAATAGCTCGCAATGTTCCTTTTAGAGTCTTTTGTATTAGATTTGCAGAATTATCTAATAGGTACAAGGGAAATAGACCACGGTATGATAGAGTTGCGTCTAGAAAAACCAGCAAAAGTAGGAGATGTTAGTTTTCCATTGAGCATTAGAAACTGGAGCCATTTGTTGAACGGAGGACAATGTACTGGAGACTGCATAAGTATTCTTGACTATAAAGGTTCAAAGAAGGATTTGGGCAACCAAATTGAACAGCTTAGGATGGAGAGCCTTAAGTGGACAATTCAAATTGATAAAATACTCATGAACAACAAACAAACTCATTTGAATATTTCCCTATCTAGAACATCCAAACTATTCAAATCCGTTTTGAAAGAAGTAATAGAAGCGGAAAAAACCTATGGTTCGAGTGACTTTATACGGAACAAAGTTCATTTGGACTTGTTTCCAAATAACGATTTGAATTCTGAATCGAGTCTAACTTGCTTGAGGTTACACTTGCTGAAGGAGATAACAGCGAATTTATTGAAAGCTTCTACATGCAGTGAAACTGACAGAGAATCTCGAATAACCTTGTCACTTCAACCGGTGGATGATAGATCTAAGAATGTTATATGTGGTCCAGTACTTACTGAAAATGGAAATAGAAACTCAACGACAGTGCAGCAGCTTTACGAGTAAGATGAAAAAGTGTTGGTAAATATTCATTTTGACGGTTGGGAATGACTATTCAATTGGACTCATTTTTGTTCGCTGAAGTTGAAACTTGAAGCCGAGGTCTACTTTCATCATGTTCAAAACATATGCAAGGAATGATAATTATGTTGCCAAAATTTCAAAGTAAAAGTGACATTCAGTTTCATTTTAATTCTGAGGAAATTCAACGTTTTGTATTGGAAAGAATGGAAGTGGCACGTGAATAAATGTTCATAGCATTATAATGTGTTTCTTAACAAGTTTTTACTACCGGCAAAGTTCCTGAAATAGTCAATTTCTTATATTTGAGTGGTCCTATGCCTGAGAGTAAACTGAACTGCTGAGTGGACTTCAGTTTCATGATGAGCAGACATAAGACGAGTAGAGAAAAATTTGCATGAGCCGGAAAAACGAATATTTACCTTCTCTTGCATGCGTAACATCTGATTTTTTCTGTAGGAAAAGGGCATCTGATATGAGGATGATGGCTCAGCATAAGTATGGTGTCCAAATCACACCATCTTCAACTTGGGAGACGTACTTTGCAAATCTGGGGAAGGGTTGCGTTACGATTGAGATGATGTCTAACAAACCTCAAAAAGCAATCAAAGTAACTCAGAATGATTTACAGACTGCACACAAAGGTATGAATAAGTTGAAATGTAATTTGTTTCAAACTTGATGAGTACAATTTACTTCTAGGTGAATTAATTCATTGAAGATACTTTTCTAACACCGCAACAAAAATAATGTCTCTGGACATGTGTTTCCCTAACCAAGTTAGCCTCATCGGGATGTTGCTGAAACTAATTTTTGTTGGATCATCAGGAGATGACTAGAACTCAGCTGAAATTAGTCTTAGTCAACTTATTATGACGCTAACTTGGTTACTAGTGGAACAATAGATGTTTTAATAACTTATTTTTCAATTAATGTGACCTTGCAGTTGAATATAAATTACAGGTTTTGCAATTGGAATGATAATAAATGTAATATTTTTAGGCAGCTGTTTTTCACCAAACTGTTCACAAATCAAGCCTTCAATGTCAATGTTTAGCCAAGTTTTCTGTAACTCCAGTAATAATAGTCAACAATGAGAGTTTTAAAGTTGTATGGCACTAATGGAGCTACTACAACAACTTCTTTATTCTTTTCTGGGCTCAGGTTTCATCTAGTGGGTCCTCAGTTAGAGCTGCAGAGGAAGGCAGAAAACGATTTCCCGTTTGGATGTCGATATAAGCAAGGTTTGAGTTTTCTGTCGATCCCAGAGGTGACGTCTTTGTAATGGAAGATGTCTCTGCATGTTGAATGTATTGACAGCCTTATGAATTTCAGATAAATTCAGACAGTACTGGTTTTATCAATAGTGGTCGATTAATAGCTTTTGAATTTATTCTCAATGGATGAAACCTTTGGAGTTGAGTAGAGTGGGGAAACTCGAAGTCAAATATCATTTCTGGATATGCTTTTCAGAATTGTTTATACTGCCAATGTTATTCTTGATGTTTCCTTGGTATAAATTATTCCGATTATTCTTCTAATGGTGGGACATCACAAGAAAATATCAAATATAATAAAAATTTCTTTTGGCACATTTCTGAAAACGTTAACCAACTCCTGCTATTTTCATGTCAACGGTATGACAATTGTTGATCATATTGTTGAAAATTTTGAATTATGGGCAATCAAAAAATATTCTTCTTTGGGTCTTGCAGAGTTAAAACTTCCTTTTTATTATATTGTCCAGTGTTTGTTTCGGTTTATTTGTTGAAAAAACAGTTTTTTAGGACCATGCTTCATATTCTACAACTGTGCTAGACTGGCAGCCTTATTTAAGAAGTTTGAAAAGTTGGTAACGAGAAAAGAGTATCCGGATTTGCCAGAAATCGATGGTGTGGATTTTTCCCTGTTAACCCAGCAAGTAGGATTTTAATCACGTGAATGAGACGAACCACTTAGAATTTTTTTTTTTTTCAGGAAGAATGGGAACTGTTCTATGCATATATCTTGCAGTATCCGATAGTTGTTAAAAGCTGTATCAAACACATAGAAACAGGCGTAGTCAATCCTCAGTATTTGGTAACATTCCTATCAAAATTAGCCTCACTATTCAGCGTCTACTACAGGAGAGTCAGGATACTAACCGTACGACCAATAAAACTCTAATGAAGCAGTAACTGAAACTTTTCTGTTTTAGAATCCTCGGGAGCATATGTTTGCAGTCGTCCACGCCAGGATGTACTTGCTGAAAGCTATACAGTACGTCTTTCATAATGCCTTGGATTTGTTGAACATTGAACCCATCAGAGAAATGTGAAAATCGATATCTGAATTATTTTTTCGTGAGTTGCAGCATTTTATTGAGCTCTAATGGTAACTTGATGAATTGCGAATCGCCCTGTATAAGTGCCACAAGGTTCTGTTTTCGGGCCGATACTTTTATTTCATATATGAATATTATGAAAGGTTAAACAACATTGTCTACAGAGGAAATCAATATTGCATCTAGTTATTAGGCATTTTAACCATAAAGATGATGGAATTATTTGAGAATTAAGAATTATTCAATGACATTTCATTCCTTTTTTTTTGTTATGTAAAGCGTGTTTTATAATATCATTTGTTGCTAGTATATTTTTATTTTGTACATATATTTTATTTTGATAAACCATCTTTTTTGTTTATTCACCATTCAAACGTATTTTACTGAAATAATGTTCAGTAATTCTGATCATCAACTCAGGAAGAGTTACAAATTGAACATATTTTATCTACATGACAAAACTTTAGAGATATTTATGATATAATTTCCCTAATAATCCAACAACTTTAAATTTTTATTGAAAATGTTGAGAAAAAGTCTTGAGCTTCTTCTCAAGAAGTTGATTTGGTGTACAAGGAATTCTTATGAAAGTATAGCGACTCCAGCGATAACAATAAATGAATCATCCTAATTGAAGAAAAGAAAATATTTTTGGCAGCGCGTAGTTCTTAGAAAATGATCTTTTCTTTCTTCTTTTCCATCATTACATAGAAAGTGGAACCTTCCAAAGAAGAGAAGAAAAATTTACGTAAAAACTATTTACAAAACAAAACGCCAGGGTTTATCATTGCCTAAATTATTATTCAGACAACTTTTCTATGAATCCCCTTCTGGTATATGTTTAAGTTCTACCACTCTTTAATAGATGGCCCAGAGATCAGATAAATTTCAACATTTCATTCACAGAGGGGGTGACTACACGAGTGTCTCTACTTGACTACTTCACAATGTCAGGTTGGCACTTGAATGTTGTTCATATTCAAAATATGTTAATATTAGGCGAAATATTGATTTTTACATTATGGTCCATGAATTGCAGATCTGAACAAAATACGCCCGATGAATTTCGATTCTTGCACCATCTATCAACATGTGTACGAAGTTGAGTCAGTCTTATTTCTAGCATCGGATTTCTGACAAAATAAAAACGAACTGGTTGAAACGCCAGGGTTCATTATTACCCAAATTATTATTTACACCAGGTTTCTATCTTTGAACATTGTCTAAGGATTTAAATCCTTAGACAACAAAACAGTGTCTAAGGATTTAAATCCTTGCGTGGTTACCTGCTAAGTATTCTCATGTTCACTGGACTGGAAAATGGTCCTCACTACGATCGATTAAATGGTTCTCAATGATTTTTATCAAAACAATACACATCCAGCGGATTAAACTTTGTCGCAGGGGTAGAATATATGTCCATCATCGTCTCTATACTTCTTAATTCCAGGAACATTTTTGAAAACATAATTGCCTGCTGAAATGCGGAACTGGAATCTCTGGAGTGGATGATTTCGAACTTCTGGAAATATCAAAGGTTGTATCTGGAGAATTATGAACAATAACAAGTCGAATAAAAAATCTACTGGAACTATGTAAAATTCGTCTTTCGTAAAGCTAAAATATGACGTGGACTGATAGTTCGTAGGCTGACACACAGATGGCGTTGCTGACCATCATAATATACGTGTTCAAATTTCACAGCTGTTGGCGGATTATTGGTTTGTGGGACACAACGTTTTGAGTGAAGCAACTTTTGTTAGTTTGATGAAAATGGATAAAAAATAACTTTGTGTGTTAATAAAGCATTGGCTTGATAAACATTCGGACTTTTCGCCTGGAAAATCAACCGATGAGAAGTTTGAACGAGGTGGCCTCATTTGAGGAAAAAGAAAGTTTCTCAGACCTCTAGAGAATGATCGCTGGAAAGAGATTAAGCGCTGATGAAGAGGTAGTTTTCTAGAAATCCTCTTCTCAAGCACAGACAATTAATCGCTATTACTTTCATAATTGGGACAGAGAAGACCAGTAATGGTATTTATCTTTCTGGTTCATGAACAGGGGCCTAATCCATTTCGAAACATTGTATATTCAGGTCAATAGTGAAAGATTTTGTTCAATAGTACATTGTTTATCAAACTATTTGTGGAGAACGCGTGTTTTATATTATTTTCATTGGTATTACCCACGATCGGAGACTGAATTATCACGTTCCATTCTTGAAAACCAAGTGCTAAATGTATTTAGCAGCTGTTTTCTCATTCAAAGGTGACAAGAAGTTGAAATCAGACTCTAAAGCGACCCTCTGTCGAAAGTAAAGATGAAACAATTGCTTCGTGAATTATTTGGAAGTTATAACTTTCAAGTCGAATAAAAAATCTACTGGAACTATGTAAAATTCGTCTTTAAGTCATTGTTAAAACGAGCTGAAATAGCCTGCCGAAAATATTCAATTTTTCATAAAGCTAAAATATGACGTGGACTGATAGTTCGTACGCTAACACACAGATGGCGTTGCTGACCATCATAATACACGTGTTCAAATTTCACAGCTGTTGGCGGATTATTGGTTTGTGGGACAACGTTTTGAGTGAAGCAACTTTTGTTAGTTTGATGAAAATGGATAAAAAATAACTTTGTGTGTTGATAAAGCAGTGGCTTGATAAACATTCGGACTTTTCGCCTGGAAAATCAACCGATGAGAAGTTTGAACGAGGTGGCCAAATTTGAGGAAAAAGAAAGTTTCTCAGACCTCTAGAGAATGATCGCTGGAAAGAGATCGCTGGTTCATGAACAGGGGCCTAATCCATTTACCAACTCATTCTGTTTAAAAATCTGTTTAAAATCTGTTTTTCCATTAACCAGCTGTCGCACCCCTACGAACGACAACCCTCAGAAGTCGAAACTTGTGCGAGATAAGGATTAACGAGGTCTTACCTTTCGTGTGATTCCTAACACGGGTTGGACGATAGCAAGTGAAGATCGATCGTTCAGACTAAGGCTTGAACCACCGACCAACACGGCAGTCAATTCGAGTGAGTGAACAAATCACCCACGCCGAACCGCTTGGCTACCGACCGGACATATAATGAATTGACTACATTTCAGGTTTTATATAATAACAATTTTAATTATACCTATCTACTTAATGACTAGTAATTTTACAAGCGTTTAGGTGAAAACTAATTGATAATTCAAACAAGGTAAAATAAAATTATCTATCAAACTCATTAAATGAACATGTAATAAACTAATTACAGCTTTGCAAATCTAACGGTTCCTCTGAGATGCGCCAACGACAAAGAGAAATAGCAACTATCCACTACCTACTTTTATCAGGAAAAACAACCAGGAAAATGATTTTGGCTCGAACAAATTCTGCAAGTGTCGACAACTACATACATGTTTTCGAAAAAAACACGTTTAAAGTTTCGAAGTGTATTACTTCTATGTACACGCCTTCAGTGGGGTGTAAGGTCTTGATATCATTGGTCTGAGTATCTCTGACGTCATTCCTTAAATCTGCGATGTTTATTCCCGTTGTAGTGTGGCGGTAGCTTTAGTTACAGAGTCTGTGATTGGGCTATAATACAGCTGATTAAAAGTAACCTTTTCGTTTCTGGGTTTTCTATCCCATCACCACACATTTTTTCTTTCAGTTCCATAATTTTTGTGGGATTTCATCGTGAATTATAAGTTTCATAAATTCTATTTCATTGAAATGAACGCGAGTGACGATTTTGAAAAGAATCAAGAGGAATTCGATTAGCAGACTACCAGTTTTTCGAGCACTTCAATATCTTTCTCACCGATACAACCTTCACCAATCAGGACCAGACATAAAAACGGCCTTCGTCGACTTTATCGAATCCCGAGCAAGCTTCCATGCCGACGAAATTGATCGACTTGTGGTACGTTGGCAAAAGTGACCTGATCAAAATGTCGATTGAATTACAGTAATACACACATCGGAAAAGTCTAGGGATATTTTTATAACATACTAAATATCATAAAAATAAATGCATGAGGTCGTTTAATTTCGATTGAATTGGTACACTCGACCACCCTGTAGATTTTTCTATGGGTTGAACAAAGCCTGCAAAAACGGANACTGTTCATTGACTCCTCAAAAACTAGTTTGAAAGCAGTGTTGCTGCATAACATCTAAAAAAATTATTGCCATTTTTAAAAATATCCCTAGACTTTTCCGATGTGTGTATTTTAAGAACTACTGGAATGATTTATGATCGACTTTTGCAAAAACTCTTATTCTTTTTAATCTGGAATGATACAATGAAATATAAACAAAAATGCCGCGAGAAGTGGTTCAACGTTCAAATAAAAGCAAGTCTCCATATTCTTTGGTGAAGGGGGATTTGAACAAAAAGGTGATTTATCCAAATTCGCTGATATTCATTGTTACTGTAACTTACTGTCTTGAGCTGTTCATAGAAGCGTCCTTTCATGAGTATTATTATTCAGTCAATAAATTGACCCGTTGACATTCAATCTCCTTTGACATTTGTCAACTCAATAATTTCTACCTTTCATTTCAGTGACCTTGCTTGCCTGAAACCACATCGTTACAGCCTGACCTAGAGATGGCGCTAGTTGTTTGAAAAATATCAGTGTATTAGAGCATAAAGCATATATTTCAAGTTTGAAGACACTGCGTTGTTTAATATTTGTTTGCCGGCCCATTAATCGCGAAGGTTTTCGCGAAAATGGAGAAATTGGTCATAGTTATGTGGTACAATACCAATATAAAAGCTGAACTGTACACTGGCTGAGTCTGCTTCGTTGTTTACAACAGTAAACTATTAGGTAGGTTAGGTTAGGTTAGGTTAGGTTAGGTTAGGTTAGGTTAGGTTAGGTTAGGTTAGGTCAGTAAACTATTAGGTAGCAGAGTTTAAATGAGGCCGGACGAGCTGCCAGGACGAGAATCGCAGTGGTCGACATCGACTGAAAGGTGCGGGAGCTACCAGAGTTTGTAGGCAGTTCAAAACGTACGGTACATCGTATATTACCTGGAAATGTTGACATGAGAAAGCTGTGTGAAAGATGAGTGCCGCGTTTGCTCACACCTAAGCAAAAACAGTGTACAGAAGATGTTTTGATTGAGTCTTTAGCGAAATTTCATAGCAAGAAAGCATAATTATTGCGTCGTTTCATAACCATGGCTGAAAGATGGGCTATTCACTTTACACCCGAGACAAAAGAACAGTCAAAACAGTGGACTCATTCCTATTTCTCCGTACGACGGAGAAATAGGAATGGCAAGATCTGCCAACAAAACCAATAATAGGTCGAAGAAGCAACATGGGATAGAAAGTCAAGCTGCTGATGATGAGGACCGTAATATTACCGATAATTCTGTTTGCCTGCACTGCCTGGGGCCAGTGCGTAGCGACATACAGAAGACAGGTTCAACGAGAAGCACTAGACCGCGATCTCTTTAAAAAAAACAATAGTCTGCGGTTAGTTTTTGGGGACCCCATGCAAAAATTCAGTTAGGAATTGCCGGCAAGTTCATCGCATCGGTCTTTTGGGATGCCTGTGGGATAATTTTCATTGACTATATTGAAAAAGGTAAAACTATCAACGACGGGTATTATGCGGGTGCTTCTGGCACCACCCGTACACTATTACTGTTTATCTCACAGCACTGAACTTCAGTGACTCCATTCGTAGTAGAAAACAGTTTTGATACTAAATCGCTTCGAGAAAATTTGTACCTCGGTTAATTCTTCATAGAAATTGATGGTGACTCCTCTGGCGGATTAGTTTATCAGTTCCGATCAGACAGCAGTCGTGGATTGTTATGGAACATAACATAGGTCAACTAAAAAATGTTTTTGAAAACTTTGTTTACTTTAATAGCTGATTTTTATTCTCATGTATGATCATTGTGGTTTCAAAGTTTACGTTGAACATCAGTTTTCGAATGTCGGGTCCTACAAACACGCCTTCTTTAAGTTCAGCCTCTGAAAGGTTTGGAAATTTCTGACAGAGATACTCGAAACAAGGTCCATCTTTGGGCAATGCCTTTACAAACTGTTTCATGGAGCCTAACTTTATATGTAGAGGTGGTAAGAGAATGCTCTTTGGGTTTTGAAGACTCCCTCACATGCCAGTTCTTTCTGCACCAATGTTGATCCCTTGCTTTACTGTCCCATTCACAGAAAAAACATGGAAATTTGTTAAAACCGCCTTGCTGACACAAAATCATGCATGTTACTTTCATGTCACCACATATCATCCAACCATAAGCCGAAGAGCCAATTTTATTCAACACTGTTGCTAGGTTTTNAATTTACAAGACGAAAATATATGCTCCTCAGATTTAAAATGTCTTTCAGTAGAACGAGGTAATTTTTTAAAATCGGAGTATCCTATTTTAGACCACGTTTCAGACCAACAAAAAAGTTTTTCTCGTTTAATGGAGCCGGTTAACCAATCGCATTTATCATACCAACTGGAGGCTAGCCTCCTCTAACGCTATACTCCTCTAACGCTATAATTTCCGCCACTGAAATTACAAATCAGGAAGTATGTGTCTGGTTGATTCGGTCTCGCGAAACTTGTGTTTTTTAAAGCGGTCGGAGGCTTGGCTCCCTTGCAATGTATGGCATTTATTATTTCGGGTTGATGGTTTATTCGTTATTCGTACATCGGCGGTGCGTTTGACGTTTGTTGATGTAGGATGCAGTGTGGTACGTACTACCACACTGTAGTGAGTGATAGTGTTTTATCGGGCATATTATGTATTTATATTGAAAATGAATGGTAAATTAATGATATCCTAGCATTTTTAGAAGAAAATAATCATAATTATTTGTCAATATCTTTGATTTATTGCGATGAATAGCTTCAAATTTAATGGGGAAGCTAAGCCTCCCTTGCCTCCTCTGACGAGCCCCCGCTGGTTTTAAGCGAAAAAGTTTTTTCATCGTTGGCCTGTGTAAGTAAACAAACCCAGTCTACTCACCAGAAATAAAACTATATTTTAATGACGCCTCAATCGATGTTGCAATAACTGACCGATTGACAGCCGCACGCAAAAACGGTGTCGCGAAAGAAAAACCGCGGAACCGTCAGCGCACCGCGCCTCTCGCGCAAGTAAACGCGGCCGCACGACCACTGCGATACATCGATATAATTCGGTCGGCAGTCTGTAGTCGGCGCGAGTCGAGAGTTAGTGTGTGACAGTGTCTCCGTTGCGAGTTGCGACTTTGTAGCACCTTGTCGAATTATTTATTAACATGAACTCCATCGAAACGCTTCTAGAAGCCGCGGAATATATCGCCCGAAGGGAGAGAGGTCAGTAAGGTCGTTCGGAACGCGGCTTGCGATTGAAATCCGCGCCAACTCGATCAGCTGTTTCTGTGTTGTTTTCGACTGATGGTTTGTTTTGTTGTTGCAGAAGCAGAGGCAGAGCATGGGTACGCTTCCACTCTGCGGTTTCCCGACGATATCCGGATCTCCAAAAGGCCCAAGACGAAAAAATCCCAGGGGAACAGGTACGTTCCTTTGTTCTTGAACTCGCGTGTCCTCTAACCCCACTTTTTTCATTGTTGCAGGACGTCCCACAACGAGCTGGAGAAAAATAGGTGAGTTTCCCTGGATTATCAGTGTCTGTGCGCGGAGTGTAAAAAAAACAGTGATCCCGTGCTAAAGTTCGATTCAAGGTGATGCTGCTGCATTTTTATGCAAGGTCGACACATACTTCGCTTTGCTTGGCAACAGTTATAGTAATCATCCTATTTACAGTTTAACTTCTGTAATGAGAGAGTAGGTTCGCCTAATTTGTGATTCGACGGGGTTTACTTTAATAGCGTTCGGAAGGTTGAGTGCACGAAAATATTGCATAATTTTGTTTTCGCGATTCGGAAAACGAAGGACGTGGTGTTAGGCAGTTGGCCAGACTGTTTTGCTTCATTAACTCGTTCACTGATGGAGGATTTTTGGACTCGTAGCTCAGTTGTAGGACTTTCAGTTGCTTCTACTCACGCCTTATAAAATTCCGTTGAAACTCCTGTAGAAACTTTTCATTGTAATTTTTGTTTGTAACAAATTTGTTTTTCTAAATATTCATCTTCGACATTGATACACTTTTGCATGTATTGAAACCAATTCTCGAAACAGTTTTCCGAACCAAATTTAGTATCTCAAAAACATGATTATGGATGGTTTCAACAGGAAAACAAAAAAGCCGTTAGGCGACTATGAGCCATCATTCCAAATTTTTTCTCCCTCAAATGATCAATTACCTGTGTGCTGCGTGGGACCTGACGTTGGTTATTATATTGAAAGATTGTGCGACCTTGTAGATTCTTTTGGCAAACAAATTATTGTTTACCATTCAGCGATAACTATTTTTTTATCCTTTGAAAGAATAACGACGATATGTTCAACGAAGCCGAAGATTTACTTAAGCGATCATTTTCCTTCTTGCAAGTGCTTCCTGAACGAACAACTCTTGTGGAAATCGGTTCATCTCGAAATACTCAAAAAGTAGATGTTCAATCTCCGTTTCATATGAATGTATAAACTTTTCGTCACTTGTACGTATATATTATATACTGATTTCGTAGTTCCCTAGTTGTTTTTTTTTTCAAATTCTTTTTCATACCTGAATTTCCATGCAGGATCTGAAGTATTGATATGCCAAGGGACACTTTCATCTCACAATATGTCAAATGCTAATCTTTCTTCTCATCATATCGAACATCGATATCATTCAGAATCACCACCGATTTTGGTAGCCTTGATAAAATTCACTGTTCCACGATCAAAACTCCTTTTTGATGGTGCTTCATTATCATTATTTTTTGTTGAAACGAACTCCCATCGAATCCTCAAGAATTGTACAACAACATTCTTCACAAGTAATTTCTTTGATTTCATACACTTGCTTTTCTCAAACTAGTCTCTAACTAACTGAATTGCTTCTAATTCAAGGCGAATTTTCACGAAAATCGAAATACCACATTTTCAGTAATGCCATCTAAAGCATAACTACATTTACAAAGCATCTCAGAAGAGGATTTTACAACAACTGACGCTTCTCACAATAAAAATATTTCATCCAACGTTGTCAAACCGGATCACTAACGCTAAATCTCTTATCAGAAAGACGATCAGCTTTATGAATAAGATTTACTGAATATTACTGTAGTTTTTCCCAACACCAAACCGTTATTTCAACACCTCGACACGTGTTTCGATCACCAAGTGATCATCTTCAAGAGGAAGATCAAACTGATCTTCCTCTTCATTACTACACCATTTACTGTGAGCAGTGTATCAATTCAGAGAAATAAAGATTCCTTGTGAGTTCAGATTTTTTTAAAATGACAGATTCAACAAAAAATGGGACGCCTAAGATAAAGTTGAGACTTCAGTGTTTCAAAGACATGGCGACTCTATAAGACACGTATGTTCAAACGAAACATTTCTGGAGCAACTGTATTCTTCTTATTTTTCCCAACGTATTTTCAAGAGGACAACTACCGCTAAGTGACGCTACAAAACTCAAGAAAAACAAAGAAAATGTCAAAATGTCACTTCGTATTGAAAGTTCTACGGAATATTGCGTTAGTTCCGAATTATTTCTGAACGTCTACTTTGAATTGCAGATGGAAAATAACGGTGAAGTCATCGAGAATTCAAAAACCGAAAATTTCGTAAATATTTCACACATGTTTTACATCCCAGACAACTTGGTTGATTGTATAGATCGAGTCATGTCTGCAGTATGTCAAGTTTATTTATTTTAGTCACAAATAGAGGTATTGGAACTGTCTCACTGACATATATATGAATTGCGCTCAGATACACGGGATTATCGTATGTAAATTCTGTTGCTTTCCTTGTGAGCGATGTGTTATTTCATAAGCCGAGTTTCCTCAATATTTACTTTATGGTTCATGAACACGATGAAATCGGTACATTTTTATCTCAGAACAATGACAGTGAATGGGAGAATATTCTCGTTTTCTGCTTACATGTGATTACTTGCTCGAAACATGATCAAAATTAATGGCACTCCTATCGCATCAAAATAAATATTCACCGAAAATCCACCGACGATTTATCTATACGGGTTTGTTTTGTTTGGGATTTATTCGCGAACAGTGATAGTTATGTTGAGGTCTGGGCGAAGGTTAAATCAGTAATTTGGAATTAATGTTAAGGTTAAGGCCAAATTTTATTCGCCGAGACTTGAAAGTGGACTAATAAATCGTGAATATGTTTGCCAAGCGAGTTTTTGTTGCTTCAGATAATTAGAACATGGATTAGATGTCCTTATTAGTTGTAAGACAACTGTTGAAAATTTATGAAAAAAGACCTAGAGTGGACAAAAACAAACGACAACTAGTTGGACCCAGGTACATCAAGTTTGTATATTTTCCTGCATTGAATCAAAAAGCATTCAGATCATCCTCATCTTTTTTGGTGAATTACCATCAAACTTTGGTTGTAAGCAGTGGTTAGTTGGCAATGCCTTGCGATCTCCTCATTAGTAGAAAGAAAAGGAATTCTCATTGGAAGAGAACAATTATCCCGATTCGTTCGTAGATTGGTTGAAAAGCAAGTGACTCTACAGAAAGCAACGCCAATTCAACAACCACCAACTCAACAATTACCGACTCCACAACCACCGGCACCGAGCTGAATAGAAAATGAAAATGATTGCCAATGAACCACACGACAAGAGACCTAAGCTCCTAAGAAGTGGATCTTAGTTCGGTATCAATCTTGAAAAAATATACTGATCTTGGAAAAATTGTAGTATTACCACAGAACACTGTAATACATAGAACGAATAAAAAGTCAATCGATAAAAATTGACATATTTCACATTTCAAACCACAGTCGACGTCTGTCAAAAAAGTTAACACAAAGTGAAAATATTCAAGTTACATTTGATTTTTTACAAATGTGAAATCTGAGGCAGACTTTAGCCTCCGAAACCTCAAAATAAGTATGTCCCTCTTAGCTCTTCTTTGGAATCTTTTTTTGATAGACAAACTTAAAAAAGACGACAGATTATTGATGAATACCGAATTTAATTGGTGAAGGATGTTTTGAATTAGTAATCTATCAAAATAAACTGAAATGGCTGTCCTCTATTACAATTTTTTTATTCTTCCGATTGTAGGAACTGAAAAAAAATCCATCACCAAAAATATCGATGATAATTCAAAAAATGGTTGAATCATTCTCTTGTGTCACTTTACCGATAATATTATTCTCATATTCAAACTTCTCAATGCCAAACAATCTCCAACTCTCGCTGCGAAATGTAAGTACTAGATGAATCACCCGCGATAAGAGTATATCAGTGAGAGCTTGTTCGACGAACCTTCTCGTCTCGAAAACCAATCACCACCACTTATAATGAAATTATTGTTCTCGAACGCTCGGTGAACCTCTCAACAATTCACGATTGCGACATAAGTACGATTAACATTGATTTCAGTTCTAAAAATGACTAGTCTTTTAGCGAGTCTATATAGTATTCTAGCACTGATGCAAACAATTTTCTGTGTGGAAGGAAAATTAATTTTTATGATTGACATTTGGTTTCAAAGTGCCACAAACAGCTACAGTGTCCCTTGTCAAAACAATAGTCAGAACAAAAAGCATGGCTTTGTTTTAGCAAAAACCCAGGTGGGGTTTGGGTTCGACTCAGATCCTCTTCAGTGTGGACTCCACCTGTAGTAACATGATTTTGGAACTCCTGGCTGGATAGCCCTGGCAGCAGAAGCCATTATTGGAAAAAGGAGAAGAAGAACAACAAAAAGCATATTAATGCGGCGTTTGCAGGTTGTCCCATCCGCATGAAAATTGTAAAACAGAATAATACGTATGCTGAACTGTTGAACTCAGATTTCATACGTCTTAATGTTTTTGAAAATCAAGAAAACGAACGGTAGCACTTTTCAAGTTGGGAAGATACAGATTCATAAGACGACTCGAACTATAAATGAATCTGGAACACCTCAGTTGTCATTCTTCTTATTTTTCATTAGATATTCTCTGGTTTCTATAGTTCCGTGATTTTTGCACCCATTTTTACGAGTTTGCTAGGTTGAGAATTTTATCAGTAGAAATCTGCAGGCATGCTCAAAAATTATCAGTAATTGCTACTTGCCAACTTGAATTATTATTTAGATTTTTCATATTATGGACAAGTTCTTAAAATCGAAAGCATTTTCTGCATCTGGCAAAGCTGTTCCAAGAAACTTAGAAATAATTGCGTGGTCTGATTCTCTTACGGGGGCAATTAGAGAGACTGAGAGGAGAATATCAGGTGTTTTGTATTTTATTTGTTCGACATGTTCGGTTCGCATGGAATTTGGAAGCTTTTCAAGTAGAAGCTTCAGTGGTACAGATCGGGCTTAACTTCCTTCAGTTTAGCCATCACCTCACTCTTTTAACAAACAGCCTGAGTGAACAAACATCTCCCCTCACAAAAACACTCTCTACTATGGAATCAACGTTCAACTCAAATCTTACTAATTCAAAACGGCGTTGCAGAACATCGTGATTTTGACCTTGGTTCCCTGTGAATGATTTCTATTTCCGACAAATGGACCGACTTTCAAACAAAATCCTCGAAATTAGACATGTGTACATTGAAAAGAGGAGTGGACTAAATATCGAGCCTTGGGGTATTCCGTAGCACCTCAGTAAATGGCTGAAATTATTATTATTCAGATGAACATATTGTGAACGATTTCTTATGCAGTTCTCAACTTACAATAATGAAATATTATCAAAACCAAAATAGTTCAATTTTTAACATAGAATCGCAGATTCTATTGTGTCCCTTTCTTTATGAACCAATTCGTTCTGTTTGTCTTTATTATTAATCATTACTATTTTTCACAGATGAACTTGTATAGAATGCACTTGATCAATTAGGAATAGTCGATCAGGAACATTGGCCCGTCGATTATCATTTTCCAATGTCAATACACGAAAAGGAAAATTTCCAAAAAAAGAAGTTGGCATTCTACTGCCACATCCTTATACAAAGAATGTGGGAACTTCTGAAGAAAGGAAAAAAGTAAAACCTTTCTTTCCTAAAAACTAATCCCTCCTCAAATATACCCCTTTCAATTTAGACAATTTCAACCTGTTCAATTTTATCGAAACGAAAAAGTTTCGTGAATGGGGCTATTCACGAAAGAAAGTTTGAAAATTCATCCTGCATGGAACCCGTTGCTCTATTGAAAGTAATTAATGACAGTCTTTTTTGGATCGAAAGTGATTGCCAATAGAGAAGTCGATACGATACATAGATAACTTTATTCAACTACGTAAATACAATGTATACAAGAAGATATTGATGTAGCAGGTCCAAGAAGATATTTATGTAGCAGGTCCAAGAAGATATTTATGGAAGTTTAGGTTTATCCAGATGTCCAATACGGTTTCCTTCATTGACTTGTTTCATGAGTTTGATGTTTTCTGGTGGGGGAAAGTTATGTTTGTTTTGTATGGCGTGTGTTGCGAGGTTTGATATATATGTTACTAGTACTATGTTGCTGTATCGCTGCTGTTCCATTGTTTTGACAGACTCAGA